GCATCTTCTTGATGAAGTGATCCTTTTGCCAGCATACACTAATCCTTGTCTCGTACCAATTTTCACTTAAAGTCTACTTGGATATTGAATAGCAGCTCAATTCTCTTCTGGTTATTATTTGCAAAGGTATAATATACTTTTCAGGGGGCTGGAGCAATAGCACAGTGGGTAGGGCATTTGCCTTGCACACGGCCGACCCAGATTTGAATCTCAGCCTCCCATATGGTCCCCCAAGCACCTCCAGGAGTAATTCCTGAGTGCAGAGCTAGGAGTAACCCCTGTGCATCGCCGGGAGCTTAGTAGGGATCCCGGGTACGCGGGATCCCTGCACCCAGACCCTCCGTCCTCCCCATGCTGTCTTCCTGCCCACGGCAGGTGCTGATCCTTGTCTGTTTATTGAGCTCAAAACCATGCCGCTTCCTTTGGCTTATTTCGACAGTGACTTTAAGTGTCTGGAGCCAACCAGCTCCCCTCTCCCCACTAGAAAGGCTTTATGCAGACTACAGGTGACATGGCCATGAGCTGCAAACATCTGGGGGCTCTCAGTGGAGCCCTGATGAGATTGCCATCATAGGTCTCGCCCCTGTTGAGTCAGTAATATCATGGACCGACTATGAATATGAGATGCCTTTTAGTAATAACCATCAGGAAACTTGGTGGGAAAAAGGTTTGCTGGGCTGGAGAGACAGGGCGGAAGGTGCTTGCCTTACACACGGCTGACCCAGGCTCAATCCCCAGCACCGTGGATGGTCTCCATAATCCCACCTGGAGTGATCCCTGAGCAAGAGCCGAGAGTAAGCTCAAAACAAAGGCAGCTGTAAAACTGTGGAGAGTTCAGGAGGCGGGGTACACCAGGAGGCCCACAGGGTCCAGACCGGGCACCACACGGAGCCCCGAGCACCACCAAGAGTGAGCACTGAGTTAGGAGTCTACTGAGCACCACCAGGCAAGGCCAAAACCACACACACACACACAGAGGCACAAAGACATGCACTCACACCTGCACAAAGGCATGCACTCACTGGCAGACATGCATGTACTGACATGCACACACGTGGACACACATGCACTCACATGCACACTCAGGCAATTCTATCTAAAGGTCACGGGGACTTGTGGAAGCTGCATACTGCATCACCCTGAGTGTTCAAGCACATGAGGGGCTAGAGGGGGCCCGCTAAGGGCTCCCGCTTATGCTCTAAGGGCTTGCGCACAGGGCTAACCTCCAAGGGCTCAGGTGCATGTTTTGCATGCAGGAGGCACGGGCTTAGTCCCCTGTACCCCCCACACACGAACTGAACACTTAAGTGGAAGGAAAAGTCAATTAACTTCTTAATGAACTTCTCAAGTGGCATGTATGCAACAGACTCCAGCAGGACAATTATTTCCCCATAGTGCTGGGCTCCCATTTTCCTCTTCATGTTCTTCCTCATAGCTCAGGCCTAGTTCATGAACGCCCACATAAACCCTCTCCCCCACCCTCACCATTCAGCGCCAGGGGCGGAACCCAGGCCCTCCCACAGGCCAAAGCAGGGCTCTACAAATGAGTCACATCCCCTGCCCAGAAAAGCTTGCGATCTAAACTGCTGTCGAATTTAGTGTTTATACAGAATCCAGACACAGAATGTGAGGAGTGATCTTCACTTCTTTTTATTAGAAATTAGGTTGACACTGAAAATGGAGCTTAAAAAAAAGACAATTGATCACAGGAGATGAACAAGGTTCTCCCCCGTTTGTCTTTTCTTAAATACAAGTTTTAATGGAGGCATAATAGGATTAGCTTCAGGGGGCCCAACACAATGATTTAGGTATTGATATGCAACACCTAATGATTAGTTAACATGTTACCTTCCACGCGTTTTTTCTGGTAATGAGAATTCTCCCCACCGATGCGCTGACCAACTTTCAAACACGTGATGTGTCGCTACATACAGTCCCCAGGAGGCACACAGCGTTGTTATGACATTTCCTTACCGCAAGTTCTGAGCCTTCTGACCCTCTGGCCCCCTCTCACCCACCCTCCAATCCTCCACCCATTGCCTCTGCAATCTTGAGCATTCCTCTGTGTCTCGGGGCTTAGAACTTTTGTTGGGGGGTGGGGGGGGGGAAGGGTAGCTGCTGCTACTCGAGTCTACATATGATGTGACCATCACTTTTCCTAACTTCACAGGGACTTACCCAAGTCATACTTGACTATGTCACTTAGCCCGATGCTCTCAAATTCCACTCTGCACACGTGTGGCAACCCTGACACTCCTGTCTGCATGTCTGCACGTTCCTTTACCTTTTCCATTCATCAGTTAGTCTGTTTCCCCATTATGGGTTTTTCCCAACACCACAATGAGTGACGGGGTCCGGAGGCTTCCAGTTAAGGATCTTTGCTTTCTTTGGGTACCAGAAGGTGACGGTGTGGCTCATCCCGCAGTGCTAGCCTTGGTCCTTCCTATTCTGAGCCCCTCTGCACCGGCCATCCCTCCAGTTCTCTACTCTGAGAGCACTCACTTACAACATTCCCGCTCCCACACTAATCTCAGTTCTGAACAGCAGCTGTTCTAACAGGCGCGAGACGCCGCCGCACTGGGGCCACCTACATCTCCACGTGGCTCAGGGATGGCGTCTTCTCTCTGCCCCTTCCGCTTCCTTCCCTCGCAGGCAGGGCTGGAACAGAGCCCTTGTCTCCCGCGTGGAAAGCATGCACTTTGCCACAGAGCCATCTCACGGGTACCAGCTGTGTTTTGAACTGGATTCTTTAGTAGCCGCCCGTGTAGAAGTCCTTTGTAGATGTTCAGACACGCACCCTTCAGTAGCTACGTATTTGCAAATACGTCCTCCCACTTGCCGGGCTGCCTTTTCATCCTGCTGCCGGTTTGCTTTGCTACGCAGGTGGCTTTTTAGTCTGATGTGATCCACTTACTTCTTTCTGCTTTTGAGGTTTTTGCTTTTAGCGTCAAATTCAAAGAATCACCAAGAAATTATGCGAAGGTGCTTACCACGCAGGTTTTCTTCCAGGAATTTGTTTCAGGTCTTACATTAGCCTGGAATCCGTTTATTTTTGTATGTGGTCAAAGACAGAGGTCCAGTACTCTCAGCATGTTTATGGGAGAATGACTCTCCCCGCTTCCCCCCCCCCAATTTATGATCTTGCTTCCTGTCATCCAATAAATGAGCACATATTCACAGGCTTCTGAGTTCTCTAGTCTGATCCCCTGACAAGTGTCAACACCATACAACTGGTAACTAGAGCTTTGTAATACCATCTGGAACCAGGATTTCCTCCAGCTTTGTTCTCTCCTGAGGCTGTTGACTATTCTGCTGACCTGCCCCACTCTCCCCCAGTGTCAAACCCCCTAAGGTGCCTTCAGCTGGCATGCAGGAAGGTCCTGGCATGGACCCAAGCAGGGTTGCCAACATGTGCCCAGAGGCAACAAATCCCTTTCCCAGCTGTTCCACTTTCCTTTCTGTCACTTACTCGGCCCAGGGTGGACTCCAACTCATGGCTGGAGCCTGCCCTGTCCCCTCTCCTGGAGGCCTGGGCGCAGAGGAGGGGTCTGGAGGCCCCACGGCAGGCCGAGGCTCCAGCCCACATCAGCTCACAGCTCCCTCTGCGGCCACAACTGGTCCTGGGAAAGGGCAGATGGGCAAAGAGATGCCATGGCCTCCAGGCACCCTGAGGGCAGCAGGCCTGATTCCCCTCTGCTTGGCCCCACCCTGGTCACCTCCCTTCTGTTTCCATGGAGTGCCCAGCACAGGACCCGGCCCAGGGAAGAGGGTCTAGGAACGAGCCAACAACCAGCAGAGATGAGAAACAGACATTTCGGGCGAAGGGCAATCTGTGCACCCCTGCACCCCAAGTGCTGGCTATGGTAAACCACTGCCCTTTGAGGACGAGAATGGCAGGACACGTCATGCCAGGCCAGGACTGTCCAGCAGGGCCGAGAACCAACGACTTCCCAGCTCGTACTCCTCACTCGCCTGAACCACAGGTCTCGCAAATGGCAGCATGACACAGGGTGAACTTGGGATGGTATACAAGGCTCCCGCTCCCGCCCCCGCCTGCACACTGCACAGGCCCTGGGCAAATGAGGCATCTTTCCAGCAGGCTGCCCTGAGTGGGCGAGCCCAGGGACGGCGGGGGTGCAGGTAAGATACTCCTGGAGGATACGAAACACGCAAGAGAAAAGCCACTGGCCCTGTCTGGCCTGTCCCAGTACCAACCCCACTACCGGGAGGCACACAGCAGGCCAGGTCCCACCCCCCACACCTCGTATGGTGGTCCTGAGCCCAACCAGGAGTGTTCTCTGAGCACAGAGTTGAGAGTAAAACAGGCGTGCACACAAAGATGACGTGGGGTCAGAAAACTGATTAGTTCAACAGCCTGTGACAAAGCCCCTCGGCTACACGCTATGTTTTCCCTTGTGGACCCGCGACCACAGGCCACAAGCAGCTCCTACAGGGACCCTAACCAAGCCCCCCTCCTCTCCTACACTCTGACAGCTTCTTGCAGGGAAACGACTTTGAAGTCTTTCTTCCAGAAGACACTTCAGGGGCGATCCCCCTGCGCCACCAGGAGTGGCCCAAGCACAGCCGTGGTGGCCAGAAACCAACAAGGACAAAAGGCACTTCACAAGGCCCCGGGCCAGGCCACAGCACCTTCCAGGACCGCCAAGAAATCGGTGTGCCATGAGCTGCCTGCTCCCCCCAGCCCTGATGGTGGGGGGCCGGGAGCGACGACCGGGGACGGGGGTTCAGGGAGAGGGAGCTATACCAGTGCTCGGGCCCGAGCAGCATACCCAGCAGTCAAGAGAAAAGCGCCACTTGCTTTGGGGTCACACAACTCCTGAGAAAGGCAGCCCTGGAGCCCAACCTACACCCGCGCATCAGCTGGGGGAGACTCAAGCTGCACCACAGGCATTGGGCGAGGGCCTGTGGTCCGTCCGGAGGAGCAGACACAGGCGCCCCACTCCTCGGCTCGGGGCTCGAAACAACCGAGAAGATCAGAGTCCAGGGAGGCTTTTTATTTGCTCATAGTTTTACATCTCTAGAAAAAGAATCCCAGGATTTTCCCTCCTGTGTGTTTTCGTCTTGCTTCTTCATGGTCCGTGATGCCAGCTGAGGTTGTCAGTACAAGGAAACTACGGAGGGTTGAAACAAAACAAAAAAACAAACAATGAATGCCAGTGCGTTTTGCCCACATAGTTCAATTCAAGAGTCCCTGACCGGAAGTCCTGCAGAACCTCGGCAGCGGGGAGTGCGCTCCCTGGAGCCAGGGAGGCCCCTCGTCCTCCGCCTCTGTTTCCCAGGAGGGCTGGCCGCCCTGGAGCAGCAGGCACTGCACACAACTGACCCAGGCTTGATCCCTGGCACCCTATGGCCTTCCTGACCACTGCACCGAGCACAGGAGTGATCCCTGAGCACTGCAAATGTGGGCCAAAAACAAAAGTAAAAAGTTTAACAAAAATCAATTCAAATAGACCTTTAGCTGCCCTACCCAAATGAACTGGGTGCTGTAAGGTCATCTTTCTGGAGAAAGAAACCACAGCTGTGATAAGTACTGGAACCTAGACCTTGTAATAAGACCCGGGGGGGGGGAGCAGGGGACTGCACAATACCCCAGCGGAGCTCAGGGTGGCGTGGAACCCAGGGCCCCGCACTCCAGTCTGTCATCTCTCAAGCCCCAAGCATGAAGGGGCCTTGGGCTGAGGAGCGGTTCTAGCAAGTACAGCAGACATTGATCAGAAGCCACGCACAGCAGCAAAGCAGCATGAAGGTGCAGAAACATCCAGGCAGGCCTCCAAGATGACAGAATGTGGCCACGTAACGTGAACCCGGGGGGGGGGGGGGGGCGGAGCAGCAGAGGGAAGAGGCCAGCCCAGCTCGGCTCCAGCCCCGGCACCCAGACACCAGCACTCCGCTCTCCCCACTCTCTCAGAAAACCAACTTACCCGAACTGACAGGATGGGAGCAGGTTGTTCTGCCACTTTTCTAGATCTTTGAGCTGCACGTCAAATCTGGGGCTGATCACGCCACACTGTAAAGGCAGAACAGACGCTGCACTGGAACAGGAAGGACACAGAACAAGCTCCACACAACCTCTGCCATCCCCCCACACCCCAGGAGACGCTAGGCTGAGGAGTCAAGACCGTGCTGTCAGGGGCTGCGTGAAGAGTGGGCCTGCCCCCCTGCAGATGGCACAGCTAAGGAAGGGACCGAGTATGACCTCACTGAGCAAAACCAACTCTGTCATCCATAAGCAAAAGACGCAAAGGACAGAAATTACTAAGGGCCATCTCCAGACTGCCCTCCATACCACAGGCCGGACAAGTGCCCCAAACCCACTCCAGGCCACGAACCTAGAGTGCAGGCAGAAACTTCCACTCACTGGGAAAGTATGGACAGAAGGCACCAGGGCAAATGTTTAGTCTGAGTCCCCCCCACTGCTGAGAGCAGAAGCAGGGGGTAAGCAGGGGGTCACACACGTGCCAGGACACCCAACAAAGACCTCAAAGTCAGTGACAAAAATCACCTGGGCTCAGCGTGCATGTTCTGCACACAGGAGCCCGGTGCAGCAGGGTCCCCTGGGCAGCAAGCTGGGAGCAGCGCCAGGTACCACTGAGGCCAGGTATCACTGAGGCACAGCCCACATCTGTTTAGGAGCTCTGCGTGTGAACAGGTGATGGGACAATGGCGACTCAGAGTGAGTAGACCAACAGTCGGCTGATGTCCAGGGCACTCCCACACTGGAGGAACTATCATTCTCCAACCACAGGTGCTCCTGTGGCCTCTGCTCCCCATCAAGCTCCCGAGGCCCTCCCTGGTCAGGGCAGAAAAGTCATCCAGAAGCCTGGAGGCTTCAGTCCCCAACAGCAGTCTCCTGCACCCAAGGAGGGAACTTTCTTAGGAGAGGAGGAAGAGGACGTTCAGACAATCCACAGTGAAACTGGTCCCAACTACATGGAGGTGGGTGTCGGCAGGAATTCTCAACCAGACAGAACCAGTCAACCCCTTGAGCTGGGAGTGGGGAGCCCAGATGGGATCTAGATGCTACACATCAACCAAAGTGCTTTACCCCCATAAGCCCAAGCTTTTTGGAAGGGCCACACCCAGCCTTCCTGGGGAACCATGTCCTGGCTCCCCCCACCCCGCAAGTATGCATGCCTCCACCCCTACCCATAAACTCAATCCCTGCCATTCCTAGTCTTGGGGTCATCACTAACAGCGCTCAGGATGGATGGAGGCCAAGCACCTTCCCACCAGGACTTCGGCCGCTCTGCCAGTCTAAGCACCAGCTCTAGGGATAAATAACCAGGGGACACCGGGCAGGTCTCACCAGTTATCCAACTCCTGAAGTGGGGCAGAGGTTCACACACACCAGCTAAGAAATGCTAAATCCAAACCCCACTTCTGGGTCAGGATCTAAGGGCTACGATCGAACTCAAAACCACTCTCGAAAGTTCTTCGACTCTTTCAAGGTTTCCTATAACAAGTTTTTATCGGATCCTCTAGTCACACGCAAAGGATGCTCACCCATGGGAGGAGCTTCCAGGCTCGGAAGAACCTGGCGGATCAGACCAGCCTTTCTAGGCCTGGGCTAGTGGGATGCCAGGATCCTTACCAAGAGCAAACAAAGGGGGAGCAAACAGCCCAGGGACACCTGCCAGCAAACACGCAGTTAAGCCACTCAACGGACCGGAGAGACCCACTAGGCCACGCCAGACACTCTGAGACACGCCCACACCAGCAGAGGCAGCCGCTCCAAGAGGACTAGAAACCCAGAGTTCCCCAAGAGCAGCACCATCAGGCACGGGGAAGCATCAGCCAGAGAGGGGGGCCGACGCCTCTCCCAGACCTGCACCCGCACACAGGAGCCCAGCCCCAGGCAGTCGGGACACTCCGCCGTGCATGCGCTCAAGGGTCCTGCGACAGAAGCCACCGGCTCTTACCTTGTTCAACCTGCCTGTAGGGTCCACGACGATCGTCCCGGCGCGGTGATCGTCAATGACTTCAAACTCCCGATGTAGCCTGGAGAAGAGCCGCGCCCGGTGAGCGGGAAGCCCAAACACTCCCGCTGGCCAACTGCCCCTGCCAGCCACCATTCCCCAGCCCTGCCCCTGCTTCTGTGCAACCCACCATCGCCAGGGCACTGCCAGCCAGGCCGCCCAGCTGCACCACGGCAAGCCATTCCGTCCCCCAAAACCCTGCGGCTGGGGCCGGAGCGACAGCACAGCGGGCAGGCATTGGCCTTGCAGGCGGCCGGCCCGGGTCAAATCCCAGCATCCCATGGGGTCCCCCGAGCACCGCCAGGCGCGAGTCCCGAGTGCAGAGCCCGGAGGAGCCCCTGTGCGCTGACGGTGTGACCCGGAAAGCAAAGCAAACGGACACAAACCAAACCCTATGACTTCCGGTCAGCTGGTGACGCACAAGATTCAGGGAACCAGGAACACCCCCCCCCCCAGCGTGCCACGATAACTACGCACCCCCACCACCCCGCAACGCTTCCTCTCCGTCCGCACGTCCCGCGGGGCTCGGCTGCAGCGACCACCCCCCGCGCCCGCTCACCGCGCTTCCTCGTGACGGAGGAGCCTGACGGCGACCTCGGAGCACGGCCGATGAGCACCCGGCGCTGGCCGCGCCTCTCGGGGGTGTCGCTGACGCTCCCGAGCGCCTCGGCCAGCACGTTCCTGCGCACCATGGCGGCTGCGGACGGGCACGGGCGGGGGCTGGGGACGCGCACGCCGACCCCCGCGCCGCGCCCGCCGCGCCCCCCGCGCCCCGGCTGTCACTCAACCCGCCTCCCGCGAGCGGCCCGGGCCGCTCCCCGTCCCCCGCCTCCTCCTCCCCGGCGCGCCCGTCCGACCCACACACCGGCCCAGGCCCCCGAAGGGCCGCGATGGCGCCGCCCAGAACCGAGGCGGCCGGCGGACGGGGCGGCGGAGGCCGGACCCGGGGAGCGCACGGAGCAACGGGAGCCGGGCGGCTCTCGCGAGACTCTAGGCGGCCGCCACGGGAGGGGGCGGAAGGGGCGGGCGCGGGGGCGGAGCCCGCTCAGGCCTGGGCAGCCGAGCGCCGATGGCATCGACCCCCCGCCGCGGCTTCGCCTCCCTCCGGGCACTTGATTTGCAAAAAAAAAAAAAAAAAACTGGGACCCGAAAAGCTTGCTGGCGCGCTCAGGATGTGCTTTGCAAGCAGGGCGCCCGTGCTCCAGCTCGCCCCACTGGGGCCCCGGGGCGGCCAATCAGCGCGCGGGAGAGGGCCGCTGCCCCGCCCAGACTTTGACAGCGCGGTTAATCTGACCCTGACCCGAACCGGGTGGTGGGGCAGCCCCTAGCTCTGCCTGCTGAACCTCCTAGAAGATGAGGGTTCCCTGAGGTCACGGAGGATCCTGCTAACTGCGACGTCACTAACGGGGCTGGCTAAGACCTCGTGTTTTCCCCCCACTCATCACAAATAGCTTTGTAACTGCATCTCAGGGTGATTCAATAAATAGTAAAAATTAATAATGGTAAATATGTACTTTTTAAAGATCCTGTTTCCTAACCCTTGCTGCACCCCCTAGGGGACCCTTTGAATTCCTCCTCTGGCTATCCTAAGCCAGACCACTGAATCATTTGGTTCGGTTTTGTAATTGAAGAGACTCATGACCACCTTGTGAGATTGAGAACAAGCGGTTACTTGTGCAGACTTCCCTTCTATATCCATCAGGAATAAATTCTCAGCCTTAGGGGACCGAGCAATAAATAGGACAGCAGGTACTGTGCTATCTGCCTTGCACGCAGCTGACCCGGTTGGATTTCTGGTCTTCACTTAATCACTTAACTTCCCGTTAGTCGTTGATTTGCTCGAGCGGGCGCCAGTAACATCTCCACTTGTCCCTGTCGCGTGCTAGTGTAGCCCAATGGCATCTGTTCGCTCCGGGTACATAAGAGCCTCAAACCGATCGTTCATGATCTTGATGAAGAAGTCTGACCATCTGGTAGGTGGGCGGCCACGCGGTCTTTTGCCATCCCGTGGAATCCAGTCTGTAACAGCTCTAGTCCAGCGGTCGTCTTTAAATCTCATTACATGACCAGCCCATCTGATTTTTGACACCTTGGCAAACGAGACAGCGTCCCTGATTCTTGATCGTGGACGGATGTCAGAACTCCCGATTCTTTCTCTCATTTGATTTCTGGTATGCCGTATTTTTCCTCCAGCCAGTCGGGAGTGATCCCTGAGCACTGCCAGGTGTGGCCCCCAAACAAAACAAAAATAATCCTCAGTTTGAAAGAGGCTCGGGTGTGGGTTAATCTGGGTAGTTCAAATGTGAAAACGGAGGCTCAGAGTTGTTAACTGGTTTCGTCAACGCAGAGTCTTTAGGCAGATTTTGCAAGTTACTTTCCTCCAGAAAGGAACTGGTTCTGACAGTTTTAGCTTGTAAAGTAAAGTTCCTAATTTAGAAGTAGAGTAGGGCTGAGGCATTTCTACATTTTCTTATTTTCTCTTCAGGATTACAAGTATATATTATTAACAAGTGCTTTTCTTTTTTAACAGTTTGGGGGGTTGGGAAAACCTGGCAATGCTCAGGGGTTACTCCTGGAAGTGCTCAGGGGACACATATGGTTAGGGTTAGGGGTTAGGGGTTAGGGGCAGGGGTAGGGGTGAGGGTGAGGGTGAGGGCTCCAGTCCATTCTAGCAGACTTTCTTGGACCATGAGAAGGGGGAACACCGAGAATCTTACATGTGCCGATCCCCAATGGACGATGTCACAAGGGAGGGGACCCCGTGGACAAGCCACAGGTGACTCTCAGGGGCTCATCTGGCCAGACCCCCTGTGGGCCCACGTGCCAGGCTCAGCCCCGCTGATCCATTTCAAAGGAGAGACGGATTTCTCAGCTTGACGCCTCTCCACAAGTCTTTCGCAACTGGGGTGGGGTTAACTGGGGGTGGGGGTCTCCTTGCAAGGGCCTGGGGGCATAGCATCCAGTGTGCCTCCTAGGGGTGGGCCCCATTCCCGCCGCCTGGGGGCCTGGGGGCCTGGGGGCCCGGGACGTGGCCTCACCTTTGAGCCAACAGTGGGCGTGGCCTCCCTAAGAGCCTCCAGGGGTGTGGCCACGCTTGCACTGCCCGGGGGCGTGGTCCCCTGTGAGCCTCGTGGGGGCGTGGTCTCGCCCGTGAGTTGCCTGGGGCCGTGGAGGGGGAGGGGTGGGTGGTGGGCGGGAGGGGCAGGCGCTCAGGGTGGAGCCGCGGCTCCTCCCCTCATGGGTCTGTCCAGCCCCTCGGGTCAGTGTGTGGAGCTCACCTGCGGGTGCCTGGGGCTGGAGCCTTAGGGCCGTGGCCGCCTGCTGGGGCGCCCCTGGGACCCCCCCCCCCCCCCCGCGGCCGGGGTCGGTGCTGCCAGGGGCGGGCGGGGTGGCGGCTGGGCCGGGCGGGCGCTGGGTTGGCACCGGGCTCAGGGCTGGGGCAGGGTCCCGGCACGCCCGCCCCCGGTTCAGCGCCCAGGGAGGCCCGGCCGGTCTCGCCACTGCCCAGAACTGCCCCTGCCTTTCAGTGTTTTAAATAAAGCTCTTTTTTTGTTTTTGATTTTGAGTTTTGAATTGGATCACGGGAGTCGTCCTTGATGGTTGGATCCCAGCCCCGAGATCCGAGCATCCCCACCCCGTCCCTTCTGCAGCTCACGCTTCTCGCCTCTGGCGTCCCCAGCTTCCCTCCCGAGGCTGGGGGTCCTTGCGTGCCCCAGACACGGGCCTCACCTGACTCTGTGTGTGCTTCTTCACTAGGGTCCACTGGGAGCTGTGGACGGGCTCCAGAGGATGAGGCCGGAGCGCCTGGGCTTCCAGGTAGGACTCCTGCTGGCCTCTCACTCCCCTTTGGCGTGGTGACCAGGGTGACTCTGAGACGGTCACTGCCCTGCCCTAGCCTACGGGTCTCAGGGGAGCAGCTCTGAAAGGTCACGGAGTGCAGAAGGGAGCACTCCTCCCCAGACTGCTTCCGTTCTCAGTGAGTTAATTCACAGTTGCAACGAATCGAAGGCATTGCAGTGAGGGTCAGTGGGAAGCAACAGGCTTAGCATGTGGCAGGCCAGGGACTGCAGCGTTGCAGGTTCACTCCCCCCCTCTGAGACAGTGGCTCGCGCTCAGTGTCAGGTGCAGGGCGGCATGTCCCATGTCCTCACACATCGCTCTGCCTCTGCACAGCGATGGATTCAGTCATAGGAGCATCCAGGTCTGAGAGCACTGGGTGACCACCCCCCACAGGGATCAAGGAGAAATCCTACAGATGGAGTGCTCTGGGCGTCATGCCAGTGACCACTGCAGACATCACTCTAGCCCTTACACACACGTGTGTCCTGACCATATCCATCCATGGGTTTTCAGCCACCATTAGGGGCCTGTTTCCTAGGTTTTACTGCCAGCCTCCAGAACCCCGACATGCCTGCCTGCCCTGATGTTCATCATGTTCCACCAGAGACCCACATGGCTGCTCCTGCCGCAACACTGTCAGCTTCCCGCTCCAGAGTGCCTGAGGTGGAGGCACTGTGCAGGTCAGTCATTGCCGATCACACACAACGCAGGTGTGTCACATGCTCATTTTCACATCACGTGGAAAAGTTTTGTTACAGTAACTATGGTGAATCTTTTCCAGTTTTTACACTGGCTAAGTATGATTCAGGAATGAAGTTTCTCTATACAGCAAAACCTGTGTAGTGTACAGAACCTTGCTGCATGTCTTCTGTGTGTGTTCATTTACATCCTGCAGCTGTTTCCTGGGTGTGTTTATTGACATCACTATAGAACATGATAAGGGATTAGATTTTAAGAAATCCGCCATTTGCATCATGAAGGCGTAACAGTTGCCAGGCTCTTGTTTTTTCCCCCTAAAGTCCTGGTACTCTGGGACCAAACCTACACATTAGGAGGTGCTGGTTTTCTCTTAGGCCACCAGATCACCCAGTTTCATCCTTTATATATGTCCTCTGAATAGCACTGAGGTTCAGTTCTGAGCATATGCAGAGGGTCAGGCATTGACCACCTGGGGTATGGTCCAGAAATGCCTCCTAAGGCAGGAGTATGGGACTTCTGCTTCCCTCCAGGTGCTGCAGATGGACCCATGGTAGCCCCAGGGCACTCTTGGCCACTGAGAGCACAGAGTGGGAAGGTCAGGGACCCCCAGGCTTGCACATGACCTTGCTGTGGTTGGGACCTACGTGCCAGAGACTTTGCTCTGGATCTTGGATGTGCAAGGGCTGTGCTCTCCTTGCTAAAGTTTTTTTTGTATTTTTACCCTTGATTTTAAATGAGTGAGAGTCCAGGCAGCACACACTGCAGCTTTCAGGGGATTGCATCCCTGCCATTGACTTCATGATCTCCAGCCCAGATCTAGGCGTTACCTCTGAGGGCTGGTAGGTGCATTTGTGCTTTCAGTGCAAAACCATGCTAGAGTAAATGGATTTCTTTTCATTTTAACCTTATTAAAAGTTTTTCCTATTGTCCTTAGAACTTCTGTGTACTTCTCACATTGTTGAGTGAGTTGTAGTGCAGATTCCGTAGACCCCACTTTCTCCACATGCCCATTGTCTAGCAGTTACTCACCTGTGAGCATTGATGCTGTGAATAGCCACGTACAGCTCTTTGCCCGCTGTTGGATTCTGCCCCGTGTGGAGCTCTTGAGACTCCTAGTGAAATGATAGGAGGTAGAGGACCTGTCTACATTTCCTTAAGCAGCATTGCTATATTTGCTTTGCCTGTTGTGTTTGCTTTGCATTTTCTATTGCTGTATGTTCTTATTTCAGGAATTTTTGGTGGGGCACAATGAGCTTGACAGAACCAGGCACTGTTACCAATGTGTGTCATTCACT